CCGCCGCCGCTCTGGGGCCTGGCGCCCCCCACGGGGCGCTGCCCCACACTCCAGCCCCCTCTCCTAATCGCTCGTGGGGGGCTCGGAGAGACCGAAAATGGACTGCAGTGGCTTTCCCCTCACGTGGCGTCTTAAGCGACGCGGCAGCGTGGTTTCTGCCCCGTCCTAGGCCTTCTCAATCGTTTTATGTAATCCTTTTCCTCTCCCCCCCCTTCACCCCCCAAACGCTAGGGGTGCGTTAGTGAGGGGCAGGGTCGCCCGGCGCAGAGCTGCTGAGCGAGGCCAGGGGGAGCAGGTGGCGTGAGCGAGGCCGGCCGCGCTGCCCCCGGCATGGCCCTGGGTGGGGGTTCGCCCCGCCGCCCCGTGGGCACGGCACGGTTCAGCTGCTCGGGCAGGTGCGGCCCGGTTAGCTGGAGATGCAGCGCCTGGCCTCCACCGGGAACCACGGCACAGTCAGAAACAAAGCTCCCAAGTTTCGTGGGTTTCGTTACCACATCCGCCGTTCCCTGTCCCTTCGGCCTTTCAGGCAGCTTTCTCGCGGTTGGACCCAAGTAGCCATCGTTTTGCCCGATGGCAACCTGGAAAGCACCGGGGGACAGGCTGGGAGAAGAGGCAGCGGGAGCAAGGTCGGCCCCACGCGGAGATCCGAACGCAGAGGCCGAGGTGGTACGTGATCGTCCCCTTTCCCCAGGTCACCCTGAGGGTCACCCCCTCCGCTCCCCGATGGCTGCTTGGAATGGTGGAACGGGCTGCAGTCTGCGGTGTTGCTGCCTAACGTTCAGCGCGCGCGGGAAACGAGTGAAAACCCAAAATAATAAAAGCTAAGAAAGCAAGCTGGATTTTCAGGAGACTTTCATGCAGTAAAGTCAACGTGATTTGGGAGTACTGAGCCAACCAAAAGGACACATCTGTTTTGGGCTCTGGATACAAAGGTTTGCAGAATGTGAACTGAGACCTGTCGGCATATGCGTAAACACCTAAATGAACATTCACGAAAAAAAAGACTCTGGCTGGTAAAGAATTTGAGGAGTTAAGGCTTATTTTCCACGGTGAGTCAAAACTGAAGACAGAGGAGCTGGTCTTGCAAAGAAGCAAAGGACTTTCCTGTGCTTCTGTGCCCTTAAAGAAACCTACCACGGTGCTCCCTTCCTACCTAATATGGAGGGAAAACAGTTTTGTTGTCCCCTCCCTTCTTGGCAAATTGTTTTCTGTTTTATTCCCAGCCCCTTTTAAACAGCTCTGCCTAGTAATTGTTCTGCAGACCTTCTACCCAAACGTTGCTTCAATGAGGTAAGCGCTATTGACTTGGGAGAATTAGTCATTAGAAGAGAGAAATTAAGGGTGTGTAGATGAGTCAGAAAATATGTTCACAGATGGGATGGACAACAAGAGGAAGGATCAATGAAGTGCGTATCTGCAGAGTGCCCAGTATAGTCAGCGGGAGGAGGAGAAAGCCTTTGCTGAAGTCATAGAGGCTGTAAGGGAGAGGAGCTTAAAATCTTGAAAAGTAAATTTAAGGAGCAAGTGGTAAATGGGAACCATGTAGTAACTGTTGTGTTCAACTTGTGCTGCACCAGTTGGAGATCAGGGACTTGGGATGTATACCTGGAAAATAATGAGAGATAGGGAAGATGAAATATGAACAAATTTTCAGTAAGGCAGCTGTGGAGGTACCACACAGGGGAAGATTACGTGCATTTGCACATGCTAATGTAACATCAGCATTACAAAGAGTTGAGGCACGAAGGAAGTGGGTCTCAAAAAGAAAGATGGCCTATTCAGGAATGTTTTTTGTTGCCCAAAAGAAGTACTTCCACGTGTGTGGAGTGGCATGGCTGGAGGATATGGAAATGAAGCCGGTTGTTCACTTAGTAAAGTAAAGCTGGGAAGATGGCCAGGGAAGCATTGTTAAAAGCTTTGAAACATAATACTCAGAGATGATCATCGTCAGAATAACTGCAATAAAAGGCTGGAGAGTGACAGCAGGGTGATTTGATGTGAATAATTTATAGTAGTTTAATTCATACCAAAATAATTTATAATAAGGATTTTAATCATGGTTTAAGTCACCAAGTGAGCAGATTTGAATTAAGTAGGTGCTGTTTTGTTAATTCTATTTTGTAGGCGTACTTTTTTTTTTTCCCCATAAAGGAAAGGTTGATTCTCATTGTTTGGTGACCATTACAAACTTTTTAACTAAGAGTAATCTTTACAGAAAATCTTATATCCCTTCTTTGTTGATGAGGAGAATTCAGTACATATATGCACAAGCAGTTATAAAAGTTAACATGCATTTATTCAGATACATACATTCTGAATTTCGTTATTTTATTAAATGTTGCATTACACTTCCTATTTATCAAATTATTCCTTTGTCTACTTTAGACTTGTCAAGATGTTTGTGGAGATGGAATTATTGAAAACACAGAAAAATAGGATTTTCGATTTATCTTATTAGTGAAATAAGCTGAACATACTTTAAAAATACCTTATGTTTAAAGTTGAGGGATTGATTAAACAAAGCCTAAGACATTGAGCTGATAATCGTCGTAGATCTCACACCTAATCTTTTTTTCAGATTGGGAGAGAAAACTAAACTTTCTGGCCTCAGTATTGTCCGGTTTGTGGTTGATCTTCTTTAAGACTTTGGCAACAGATGTGATGTAATTCAATATATTTGTAATATAATTTAAACCAAATTATTTGTATAGGTTCCTGCAGTCTGGACTTTAAAATGGATTGACTTCTTTTCCTATATAATTTAAATAGGTTTAATTTTTAAAAAGAAAAACATATCACGCTCAACTTTCTAAAAAGTGATTTCCTTTAAAATACTCCCAGTTAAAAAAAACAGAACCATGGTCAACTACTTTTATTGAACAACTTGGCTGGCCGCTCTTGCTTTCACACTGCTGCTTCCCAGACTCTTCCTTCTAGCAACCTCTCCTGCTCCTTTGAAATGCTACACAGATTACTATATCTTTTCTTTTAACGATTTATATTGTGTCATTTTACCAGTCTTTGGTGATTGGCTGTAGTTCTTAGTGTACAGTCCATCACGGAAATGTGGCCACCAGTTGCGCTCTGCTGTGGCTCTCTGTGCCTCACAGACTTTGAAGAACAGTGATGTTCAAAGTGGTCTCCTGTTTCTTGTTTTTACTGCTGTCGGCTGCTGCCACCACCGTTCCTGTGATTCTGTCAGAAGGTGCCCTGTTGGCTCCCTGTTGACTTATATACTTTGTCTCCTGTAGGTCTTTTAAGTGAGACAAGGTGACGGCTGAGGCCCTTTTTGCTCTGGGATTTGTCCTATCCGTACAGATATATTAGCTGGTTGCTGCTTCAGCAGTTATTTTCAGTTTTCTCCTCGGTTTATAGACACCTCTTGCCCTGTGTTGCTCTGCTGAGACTACTGTGCCCAGTGTTTACTGATGTAGCTATTTCATGGTTAGATACACATATTGCTCATCTGTGCATAGTGTTTTCAGGTCCTTTGCTTTAGAAGGCACCCTACGTGAGAAACCTCTATCCACCTTGGGGTATTAGGCCTTAAATCCACTGGGATTAGTGATTACTCCTCTTTAAACAGAAACACTCCGAAACAATTATGTGCTGGACACATAATTTGCATCTCACATGGAGGAGCAGGAAGACTTGCTCCTTATCATAAGGTGGAATGAGAAGGGATAATTTCATAGTCTATATCATCCAAAGCTATTTGAAGTGTGGAGTCTCCAACACGGTAATAATGTCATCAGCTGAAGTCCTGATGACTGAGAATCTTTCTTGTACCTGGATTCAGTTCAGATTTGCACATGCAGAGTTTAGTCAATACCTTTATGGGCAGATGGGTCTGGTGGTCCTATCTAAGAGCTATGGCAGTGATTGTCGGATGTGTAGATGTCTTATGTAACTCAGGATACAGACGTGTAACAGAGTTAATTTTTGAACTCGCAGACAATGAACCCTTGCAGGTAAACTTTCTTTAGTCGAAGCTCCTGTGTTTGCACCACTTCACTCTGCTCCTGGAATACGGGCCTGGAGTCTTAAGTGTGTGTGGAAAGTAAAAGTCAACAGGAAAGCTTTGATTTCTGCCGTGCTGCACGGCATGCCTGTGCTAGGAAGCTGGGAATCTCTCTCTGGTACTCTTATATCCGTTTCCCTCTACTATATTGCTAGAACAATTCCTAGTCTTACATGAGTTATATTCACACCCTCCCTGGGAGGTAAGGAAAT